CCCTTCCATACTCCTCATACTCCTCCTCTGACTACAGAACTTCTCCATGGGAGGCCTCACTCACTTTCATGGTTACAATTTCTACACATATGTGGATAATTCTTTTTTTTTTTTTAAATATATTTTATTGATTTTTTACAGAGAGGAAGGGAGAGATATAGAGAGTTAGAAACATCGATGAGAGAGAAACATCGATCAGCTGCCTCCTGCACATCTCCTACTGGGGATGTGCCCACAACCAAGGTACATGCCCTTGACCGGAATCGAACCTGGGATCTTTCAGTCCGCAGGCCGACGCTCTATCCACTGAGCCAAACCGGTTTCAGCATATGTGGATAATTCTTGAATCTCCATCTGAGCCCAGACCCTTCCCCTGAACGTCACAGTCATAGATCCACTCTCACATAACCACCTGGTATTCTAGACTTATACTTTCTGATCTGTCAATACCTAGCTGCTTATGTTTCCCTACACCAAACACACTTTTTCATACCCTTGTGCCTTTCCTTATGCTGTTCCTTTTTACTTGAATGCTCTTCACTTCACTCTAATCTTGTGAATACCTCTTCATTCCACAGATTTCCCATTCTATAAGACCTTCTCCTCCAGGAAGCCTTCCCTGAAACCATCACTATACTGGGCACATTTCCCAGTAATTCCCACAATATACTGCGCATATATTTCTTTTTTTTAATTCCTCATCCAATAATATGTTTTCATTGATTTTGAGAGAGAGAGAGAGACAGACACTGATCGGTTGCCTCCTGTATGAGCCCTGACTGGGTATCGAACCCGCAACCTTTTGGTGTATGGGATCACGCTCCCACCAACTGAGCCACCTGGCCAGGGCTATTGTGTATCTCTTTCTCATTCTATATCTCTTGTTACGATTATCTGTGTATATTTTTGTCTAATACTGTTAGTCCCTAGAGGGCAAGGGCTTGTGTGTTATTTACACATAGGGGATACTTAATACATAATGTCTCAACATATAGTCATCTTCTCTGCCTAATGTCCCTTTATAGAAGTAGGCCTGTCCCTACCACAGGTCCCTCCACTTGTGCTCTGACCTCATCTATTCTGGGCTTTGCTCCTGATAACCATTCTGTTTCTAGTGGAACACCGCCATTAGTTTACAAATGCACTCTAATACTTCCCATTAACAAAAGTGAAACATAGCACAACAAAACAAACTCTCCCTGTGCCCCACAAATACCTCTAATAACTGCTCCCATTACTCAGCCACTTACCTTTCTAAAGGCTGACAATATTTTCCATGCTGAAGTTATGCCTGAATTATTTTACTACCGTGAATACACATTTGCCATTTTCTTATCATCAACAATCCCAAAGAAATGTTAGTGTGGAGAAATAGGAAGAAGGAAGGACAGAGATGCTAATCAGGAGAGGGAATAACTTCAGGGTCATGGTCCTCATGAACTTCCTGGGGCAGGTAGGTTGGCATGCTACTCTAGGTTTTGGTGCTTTCCCCAAGAAGTCACACTAAGCATTTAGACTGGCACTATTAATCCTAAAATGACTCAATCCTTCTTTGATAAACTACAATGGCAGGAAAGACAAAAATGGTACTGGGAATACAAGTCACCATACTCACTGCCCACACAGGCATATACATGGAGCCTGGCAATGGAAGCAGCCCACTTGCTCACCTTCTTCCCAGTGAGGACAGCCACACCACCATTCTCAATGTGAGGCAGGTCCTGAGCAGAGACATAGAAAGAAGGTGGCTGGAAATATATGCTGTACAGAGAAAAGGGAGAAGATGTTATAAGCACCTGGAACTGCTATCAACTGCCCCCACAAATTTGATAAAATTGTTTCCATCATGAAAAACTTTTAGGAACATTTTCCAATGTAAGTCTCCAGGGCCACCAAAGCTTGGTTGTGACTTACTAGTACATATACAGAGGTATTTCAAATCAGTGGTTTTCAACTAGGGGCAATTTTGCCCCTTCCTTGGGCCATTTGGTAATGTCTGAAGACATTTTTGGCTATAACAGCTTGCGGGGGAGGAATGCTACTAGTATCCAGTGGGTAGAGGCCAGAGATGCTGCTGAACACCCAATAGTCCACAGACCTCCCTTACAACAAAGAATTATTCAACCCCAAATGTCAATAGTACAGAGGCTGAGAAATACTGCTCTGGATTTAGGTTCATTTAAAAATTAGAATAAGAGGAGTGCTATAGGAACCGGTAGTCACACATTCACCCAACAAGCTATCCGGATGGCACTGGTTGATGGCCAACTGGTCGATGGTCTAGCTCCTGAGATTATTTTGCCTCAAACAGTAGATAGTAACTATGAGATATTAATTAGGGATGACTAAGATAATTGGAAGTATGCATTCTGCTTGAGAAAGGAACATTATTGTGGGGGTGATAGAGGAGGTAGCTTTATAAAATTAAATCCAATATCAAAGTGATCACTAATGAGAAAAAAATTGGGACCCCAGAAAACTGCATGGTACTTGAATCAAGAGATCCAAGCCATCCTTTAAAAGGAAAAGGCTTGGCCCAGCCAACATGATTCAGTGGTTGAGCATTGACCTATAAATCAGGAGGTCATAGTTCGATTCCCAGTCAGGGCACACGCCCAGGTTGCGGGCTTGGTCCCCAGTAGGAGGCAGCCAATCAATGATTCTCTCTCATCATTGATGTTTCTATTTGTCTCCCTCTCTGAAATCAATAAAAATATATTAAAAAATAAATAAAAGGAAAAGGCTTGGACCTGCATTTCTAAGTCTCTCGTGTAAACATTTTAATAAAGAGGTTCTTCTCTACCATGTGCCTCCTCTATCCCCACAATCTGGAATGTTTGCTAGAGTGTCAAAGAAAGTGCCATAAAACAGTGTCTTTTCTTGTGCACTTATGGGACATGCTTAAGGCAAGTGTAAGGAAGTGACAATACAGGCCAAGCTAATCATCCCTGGAGAAGTCTAACATAAAAGTCCTATAAATAGGAGCACTAATGTTTCAGAGGCCATTACACCTTCAATTGTTGGTAGATCTGTTAACAGAATCCAGGACTCCTGCCACTGTAACTTGCTGTCCCTAAGCTGCACCAAGTGCATAGCAGAGTGGATGGCAGTGTGCAGTCATGCCATCCATCCTATGCATTGCACATGTTTCATGCAAAATCCAAACCTACTCCCTGTTTTTAGTTGAAGTTGCTAGTCGGGCCCATTTTACATAAGTGAACACACCTTCTCTCTTTTCCATTCCACTGCCTGAATCGCAGTGTCTTTGTGACATTTGGATCATCTGAAAACCACAGTTCTTTTGAAAGAGGAGGTCGCATGTATGGCAGCTCAGGATCTTCAGATACAATCAGTACCTTTTGACACAAAATAATGATACTTATCAGAACCAAGTCATTTAAGAGGCAGATGTCAAAGTGTTCACATTGATTAAGTGCTTGTAGACTATACCCTCTGTGACAAACAAAACATTATGTGCCTTACCCTGGCCCCAGGATCCCGAGCCCTGATGGATCTGGCTGCAGCGAAAGCAGCAGTGCCTCCACCAATGAGCAGGAATGGAACATGACTTGGTACCCTGACTTGAGCAACTGGCTCTCCTTCTGGAGCTGTAGGCAACAGACCAGACAGGGTGAATTTTCTTAAAGTCTCAGATGATTCCTTGCCACTTTAAAATCACCTTGCACTTGTCTCAATCCTTTACATAAAGCTAGCAAAACACTGTATCTACAATTATCTTAATTTCTCAGGATCCTGATTGGACAGGAAAAGCAATTATTCCCTTCATTTCCTAAGTGGAAAATACCCAAAAAAGAAGTGAATGATTTGGCCAATATCATTCATTGATTACTAGTAAGTCTGTCAGAACTAGAACCGAGCTTAAATATTTAGCAATTTCTAAAACACCCAGGAGGTTAATTGGGGATTATTATACAATGTTCAAGAATAAGGAGGTGTTATTTACAAAAGCAATGTAAATCGACCATCCAGAGTTATGGGGCTTATTATAGGATTAAAACATTTCTCTCTGAAAAAAAGCAAGCCAGTTGTGTGTAATAGAAGTGCTGGCTAGGGCTACATGCTTTAGAAAAACAAAAACATCGTTAACAACTCAAAACTCCAAAAACTCAAGAGAACAAAATAGACCTAAAATAATTTCCACATTGAAAAAAGGCCTTTCTCTCTTTTCCAATAATCTTCCTCTCCAAGCTTGCCTTTTTAATATAAAGCTTGCCTTTTAAGAGTCTAATACAAAGAAAAACAACCCCCCTCAAAAAAAACAAGGGGAAAAAACACACACACATACACAAAAAGAAAAACAACCAATCATGATCCCCACTAACTTTCTTCTCAAACATAAATTCCAGTCAAATACTTTAACAAATCGCTGTCAGGTGTGGGTAATACCATAGATTCTGGAAGCTTACAATCTCTCAGCATCATCGTGTCAACAAGATAACTACAAAGCATAGTACCAAACTGTTTACAAATTTCCCTTCATATATTGAGCCTCAAATCATACGTACCAGATAATGCGGCCCTCTTCTGTTTCTCTTCTGGTGTCAGCCCTAATCCTGAAATTCTTTCATTATATCTTTTTTGGTCACTTTTTATAAGCTTGTAGGCCTGTAGATCCAAACACGGAGAAAATTTATTTCATAACAGAACTAGCTCATACCATCAGCAGTTTCATTATTTTCCAATTAAATGAGAAGCTTTTGTCTACCTGAGGTAAGTTCTTCTATGTGAAAGTCACTAAGGCAAATTTATTTTCTTAAGAAATAAAAAATATTGAGTGTGTACAAACTTGGTGTGGAAAGAATACAGGTTAAGCAGATGAAAATTTCCCAGTTTCAAATTTCCTCAGGGTCTATCTATGTGAAGAATTTTCCTCAGACTGTATTTAATTCTGAAGGTATGAAAAAATAAGAAAAACATTTTATAGAATAAAGTGTTAGGAAGGACTGAACTTTATAAAAGGGATTTTGGACTATGCTGGATACTAGCTGTGAAACCAATCTACATGGTCCAGGGTAGGAAGCCAGGACACACGTTTCCCTGGTAGGTGTCCTGAGTTTTGTCCCTGAAACATGACCGCAATATCCTAGTCTGATAGAGTAACTAATCTTTCCCTCAATGGTTTATCCTTTCGTGACATTCAGATATTCATTAAGGGTCATTTTGCTTAAATACCGGTAGTTATTTCAAATAGACTATTTTCTCTATGTTTTCAAATTGAAGAAGGGTACTTTAGCATTACGACTAGCTGTTTTTTACATACAGCATCAGAACTTATTGGAAAAAAACCAATTTAAAAAGCAGTAGGCAAGAATGACTTGTTTTTAATTAGAACACTTTTTGCTCTTTTGTACCCCACAGGGTCAACAAGACAGGAATTTAAATGATGCTATGTCAATTGGAATCCCAGATTATTAATTAATTGGAGGAGAAAATATAGGAAATCAGAGGAAGTATAAAACATGTTTTAAGAATATTTCTATGAGCCCTTACAGAGCAGCTCATTAGGCACCGTGCTACAATAAAGAACCTGGCCCCTGAGACCTCAACATTTATCAGCCTGGAAATGTCCAACATATAAGGACGGATTAAAAAACTAAGTACTGTATGTTAAAAGGCAATTGTTATACCTTGAATTTTCTACTAAGTTCATAAAAATGAATTCAGCTAACATTAAGAAAGTTTATTTTTACAAATATATTTTTATTGATTTCAGAGAGGAAGGTAGAGGGAGAGACAGAAACATCAATGATGAGAGAAAATCATTGATTGGCTGCCTCCTGCACACTCCCTACCAGGGATTGAGCCCACAACTCGGAATCCAATTGTGACCTCCTGTTCACAGGTAGATGGTCAACCACTGAGCCATACTGGCCGGGCTAGAAAGTGTTGTTTTTGTTTTTTTTTAATTTTGGCATCAGATACTATATATATATGACTCCAGTATTTACCCATACTCTAAATACACACACATATATCTATATGTATGTGTGTGTGTGTATACATATACGTTTGTTTTAAGAAAGAGACTTTTACCTAAAAAGATGGCTTAAGCTGGTCAACATGAGTGAACAGAGAAATAAGCTGGGGTTATGTTCACATTCAGAGGGATATCCAAAAATAGGCTAGGCCCTCTCACACCTCCTAATAATGTCACACATGAGAGGAAGAACAGACCAAGAAATATCTTGAGGCTTAGTGGGGAAAGGACAAGAATGAGGTTTGTCATATATTTATAACCATATTTATCTATATACTTAGCTTTTAAGTAAAATGTTCTAATATAAAAACAAGTCTGCAGACATACTAAATAAAAATTTACCTTTCCTCCAAGTGTTTCTGTATTCTCAGTTTGAACAGATTTCTAAGTAGTGATATGAATACATGTAAGGTTAAGAAAAACTACAAATTTATGAAAAATATTAGTGGAGCCCGGGCCGGGGGTTAATTGGTTAAGAGCATTGGTCCTTTGACCAAATGGTCTCGGGTTCGATTCCCAGTCAAGAGCACGTACCTCAGTTGTAAGTTCCACAATGTGTTCGGGAGGCAACCAATCGATGTGTTGCTCTCACGTCGATGTTTCTCTCTCTTTCTCTCTCTACCCTCCTTTCCACTCTCTCTAGCAATCAATGGAAAAAATATCCTCCAGTGAGAATTTAAAAAGAAAAAGAAAAATATTAGTGGAAACAACTTATGAAAGCAGATGAATATGGTGGCATTTAGTCAACTTAAAGGAATCTGAAAGGAAACAGGCCATTTTCTCAGAGGGAACATGATCCTATCAGTTGAACAATGGCATGGGGCCCAAATACTAAATCTCATTAAGTATTCTAAAGGCCACTTGACTTTGCTCACTGACAAATAACAGGACTAAGATTAGGGGATTTGCCTGTGGTCCTAGAGAAAGTCACTAAGAGAGGGAGGAATGCTCACATACACACGGATTAGGAGTTTCTGTTTGTGATCTAAGTTGAAGTGTTCAAATCAGTGTTTTTCAAACTGACGTTAAAGCCCATTAATGGGCTGTAAAATCAATTTAGTACGTTATGACCAGCATGAAAAAAACAAACACAAATAGAAGAGAATAGAAACTATTGAAGTATATTACAACTAGTAAGTATTATTTCAAAATTCTCGGTTTTCCATATGTATAGTTATATAACCGTTACAAGATAAAATTTATTTCTTCTTGTGGATTGTGGTAAAAAAAAAAATGAAAAAGCCACTGGTTTAAAGTATAGACCCCTGACAAACATTTCAGAAAACTTGTTCTTAGTGCTGCTCCCTTATTTTGGGAGGGTGGAGTGTGTGTGTGTGTGTGTGCACGGGGGCGGGGGGGAGGTAAAGGGCTCCACAATCAGGAATTATAGTATCTACACTTAAATTAGGAACACGTTGTCATATGAGAAACGTTATGAACACTGTTATGGACAGAATATTTGTATCCCTCTTAACTTCATATGTTGAAGCCCTAACTTCCCATGTGATGGTATTTGGGGAGGTGATAAAGGTTAAATGAAGTCATAAGGGTGGGGCCCTAATCCTATAGGGCTGGTGAAAGGGAAGAGCGAGCTCACATTCTCTCCTCTCCATGTGAGGATGTAGGAGGGGGCCATCTGCAAGCCAGGAGAGCGCTGTCAGAACCTGACCATGCTGGCACCCTGATCTTGGATTTTCAGCATCCAGATTGTGAGAGAATAAAATTCTCTTTTAAAAAATATATTTTATTGACTTCAGAGAGGAGGGGAGAGGGAAATACAGAAACATCAATGATGAGAGAGAATCACTGATTGGCTGCCTCCTGCACACCCCCTATTGGGTATTGAGCCTGCAACCCTGGCATGTGCCCTGACTGGAAATCAGGAATCGAATGGTGACCTCCTGGTTCATAGGTAGACGCTCAACCACTGAGCCATGCTGGTTGGGTGAGAATAAATTTCTGTTATTTAAGCTACCGAGTCTGTGGTACTTTGTTATGGCAGTCAGTGCAGACTAATACAAACACTAAACAATTTATAGCCATATGTCATCAAGTCTGAACTCTGATTTTAAGTTAACAATTCTCTTTAGACTAATATCAATTTCAGAGAAAAAAATCTAAGCCACCTCAGGTCACATTTTAAATGATTTAAAACCTAATATAAAACTCTATGAACTAAAAAAACCAAAACAACACAAAACTCTACAAACTAGATTACAGGGGTGGGCAAACTTTTTGACTCGAGGGCCACAATGGGTTCTTAAACTGGACCGGAGGGCCAGAACAAAAGCATGGATGGAGTGTTTGTGTGAACTAATATAAATTCAAAGTAAACATCATTACATAAAAGGGTACGGTCTTTTTTTTTTTAGTTTTATTCATTTCAAACGGGCCGTAGTTTGCCCACGGCTGAACTAGAAAATGGCTATAGGTAGACAAAAGCTTATCATTTAACCTGAAACCATTATAATATGGTAGCTTTATTATTACCAGTGTTGGATAAACACAGAGGGCAATGAGGCATTTAACTGAATGGATTAAGAGGCACTGGTGCTTCATAGATATTTCTAAGGCAGGAGAAAGCAACAGTGACTGGCCCGTTCTTGTGGCCTGGGGTCAAGAGATTTGCCTGGCCAGCTCTGTGGAGGCCATCCAACTCTGGTACAGCAACATAAAAGAGGTTTAATAGGTTTAAATTTTACAAACATATCAGATGCAAATACTTTAAATCTATTTTTGAATGAATGGAATGGAACTGATAGGAAAAGTTGAGAGAACTGTGGAATGGGAAAGTTCAGACTCAGAGGGTGGTATCTCAATTATAAATGAGAGGCACTTAAGAAAGAAATCTACAGGAATATGTTAGCTTATACCACTTCAGCCACTAGTTTGACCAAATTAGAGATTACAAAAGGGACACTGCCAAATGAATTTACTTTCAAATAGAAGCTGGGGTGAATAGGGAGGATTTCTCTGGATTTTTGGACTTCCTCAGAAGCATTGGGTAAAATGCCTTTTATCAATAAAAGTAGGGTTAATTGATTGTTTGGCAAATTTTACCTAAAATAATTCAAAATGGATGCTGTTCATGTTATCTTTACTTGCTTAGTCAATGTTTACTCTTTGAGTCTGTCTTGGTTAGGTATGCAGCACTAAAGCACAATATAATTTAGCATCATAAAAATAATTACAATATGAAGTTAGCAAAAATTTTAAAAGAAAGGGTTGGTGATGAGTATTTATAATACTCATTAAATGTATGGCTTTGGATATATCTGGTAGGACTTCAACAGTTTGAAGAATGAGATTTGAGGACTCCCTAGTGACTGACAATGTCCCTTTAATAAAGACCTAGAAAGCACATGCTGTGAAAACTTCATTGTATTCTAATGGATCATGTCCTCATTAGTGCCGTGGACTCACCCACCCTACCCCAAGATATATTTTAGTGTAAGCATCTTACATAATAAACTCCTGCCCCAGTGACTGTTGCTCCTACAATTAAGAAGTATACTAGTCTGCTGCCATCTTTCCCAGAAGCACCTGCGGACGCTAGTGATCTAGAAGGGGATCCTAGGTGATGACACTGCACAACTGTAGGTAAAGGTAAGGCCAAGAAACAAACAAAAGGAAATAGAAAAAGAACTAAGTATTAATGAAGAAACATTCAACACAAAGGCGGGGACGCAGTTTTGGTTACCCTGTGCTAAAAAAGAAAAAAATGCTGCTCCAGGATTGGAGAAGAATGCCTATTTCCTCCAAGTCTGTTATCTGACAGAGCTCACCTACTTTTCTTGTGCATTTGGAAGTCAGGTCAGGGAATGACAAGCTAGATAAATTCAAATAATTTTCGCGTCTCTTTTTTTAACCTAGTGATCAAGAAGCAAGCTAAGTTCACTGTCTTACCAATGTAGAAAGAACTAAAATTGTAATGGCGTCCAACCATTTGCTCTCAGTAAGTAAAACAAACAGCTTCCTTCAATCAAGGTTGTTACTAGGTGTTATCTAAGTTGGTTCCCTCAACTTTATATGATCCAACTGACCTGCTTAGTCACAGTAAACCCTGCCAAGTTAAAAAAAAAAAGTACACCATAATTCCTCGGTGACCAATTAAGCTGATCAGAGTTCATTCAAGGAGATGGAATTGTCCTATAATTATGTAGCAATGAAAACCGTATTTCTCACCTCACAGAAACTCCATTCTAAAATTGGAGATACTAGGACTAATTCTATAATTTAGTCTTTGGTGATATTCAGGAATAGTTTTCCTATTAGGAACGCTTACTATTTGAATTGTAGGCTGTTTTTGTTTTTAATGTCTATCCCAAGCTGAGGAAAAAAAAACACATTTGACAAATGGGTCAAAATCAAATATTGTGCTAAGGAGCTGCAATGAATTTTGTCCTTATTCACAGGTTAGTGTGTCACATCCAAGAGTAAAGGTACAATTTTTTGGTACTTGGTCAAACCTAAGAAAACAGTGGCTTTCAAGTAAAGAATAAAAAGACAAGTGAAAAGAGCAAAGATAATCAACATGAGATTAAATTTCAGTCATTCCCAAATTGGCCCTCATAGGATATTAGACAGTAGGCACGTTAAAGAAGGCTTACTGGAAATTTTTTCAAAAGGAGAAAGGGCGATTAGTTGCAAAAGTTGTAAAGCAGAGTACTATTGAGGCTATTAATGGGAACTGTTTGGCAGCTTCTTTACACAAGCCGCTTTTCTACTTACATATGCACCAGCACCTATTGTTGATAAGCCCACAAAAAGGACTAACACAGTATTATCGATTTTGCCCCCTGATGCACCAGAGCTAGCCATTTGTCTTGTAATCCGGAGTTCTAGAGGAACATGCCATCGCTGGAACAAGTTGCCTAAGGAACACAATTTATTAAGACACACACACATAAAAATAAAATAGTTAATACATGTTTATGACTAAATGTCAATGCATTGTACAAGTCAGGACTTACTGCCCACTGGCTGCGTGACGTTAACTGTTCAGTGACCAAGAAAAAAAACCACCAAAATTGTATACAAATACGACAGGTATCAGAATGCACACTCTTAAAGTGGTTAGAGCTTTTAAGAATGCTGTCCAGGGAGGAAATTTACAGTCTCCAGAAAAGATAATGAAAAACATATGGACAATTCATCAAATACTTCCCTCGCTACTTCTTCACCATAAATAAAGTAAACACAGAAGTTGACTAAATAGATATAAAAAGTTAACTACAGGCTACCTGGAGCATTATAACAACTACTTAAGAGAAATCTAAACAGCTGCTTCAAGCCTTGCACAAAATAAAACCCTGCCACACAATCTAACCAAGACACAGCTCAGTCTTTGCATGAAAGGTTATTATGTCTTGGAAAACAGAAATGTTAAAGCTCAGAAGAAAATCAGAAAAAAATTTAAATGAATTTATCTCCCCCAAAGAACTGAAGAATTTTGGGCTACGAAGTATTTTTTAGAATGACAAAATTTAAAACATCCACCGATTACTTGTTTCTTAGTCCTCCGAAATAATACGAAGTTTATGCTGATGTAAAACTCTGTTCAGCTATAGAATGACCTGGTGATCATAACAACGTTCACACACTGAAATGTAAGAATATGGTACATTTCTTCCTCCATTAGGATGCTGGCATTTTCAGATGAAGAAGGTCTCAGAACCTTCTATGCTTATGATATTCCTTGTATTAACTATTAATCTAGAGCAGGGATTCACATGCTTTCTCTGTAAAGGACCAGATAGTATATATATTTTCAGCTTTGCGGCCTATACGGTGTCTGCTGCAACTGTTCAATTCTGCTGATGTTGAACAAAAGCAGCCGCAGACAATATATAAATGAATGGGTGTGACTATGTCCCAATAAAAATTAATGGACACTAAGATGTGAATTTTAAATCATTTCCACGTGTCCCTAAATAGTCTATTTAACATTTTTCTTTAGCCATTGAAAAAAATATAAAAACCATCTTAGCTCAAGGGGTTGTACAAAAGCATCCATGTTTGGTCTGTGGGCTGTAGTTTGCCATCCTGATCTAGAATAGTGAATCTAAAACTTGCATCAGAATCCCATGTAGGGTTTGTTAAAACACAGGTGGAGAGACCCAACTCAGGCGATGTTGCAGGTCTGCACTTTAATACCATTGGACTAGAGCAGTGATGGCGAACCTATGACACACGTGTCACAGGTGACACGCGAACTCATTTTTTTGGTTGATTTTTCTTTGTTAAATGGCATTTAAATATATAAAATACATATCAAAAATATCTTTGTTTTACTATGGTTGCAAATATAAAAAAATTTCTATATGTGACACGGCACCAGAGTTAAGTTAGGGTTTTTCAAAATGCTGACAAGCCGAGCTCAAAAGGTTCGCCATCACTGGTCTAGAGGCAGGTAGATATGTTCCTGATCTGACCAGGCTTTAAAAGACAAACAGGATGGGCACTGGTAGTAGCATTCCACATGTACTTACAGAGATCAGAAATAGGGAGCTTTCCCCCTTCCTTTCACAGTGTAAGGGCACTGCACTCTCTTACCTGAAATCCTTGGGAACATGTGCAATCCAGAACTTTAGAAAAATATGTTTTAGTTCTAAGAGTATAGGTCCATAGTCTCTTATCTATAATTCAGAAATCAAAATAGACTAAAAATCAAGTTTTTATAACTCACTGGCTAGTAAAACCTGATGTGAGAGTCTCCTTGGAACCTTTTGTTTATCCCACTCAGTATGATTTGTCATAGAAACATGAATATGTGTGTCTGTGGGTTGCTGAGTGCTACTATATGGTATATGCACTATATACTTAAGACCAAACAATTCTTTGGGGGAGATAAATTCACGTAATTTTTTCTGATTTTCTTCTGAACTTTAACATTTCTGTTTTCCAAGACATATTACCTTTCATGCAAGACTGAGCTGTGTCTTGGTTAGATTGTGTGGCAGGGTTTTATTTTGTGCAAGGTTTGAGGTAGCTGTTTATTTATTTTCTTACCTGCTTTAGATTCCTTCATTGCCATGTGAAACAAAATGGTTTATATTGGGAAAGAACAAATAATGAAAATAAAATCATGTGCAAGAGTGGAGAAACTTATCTCAATCTGAGTAAGCTTTTGATTTTCAGAAGTCCGTAAGAATGATGAAACATAAGTAGAAACTGACAACTCTCAGAGTTTAGCAAATGAAACTGGGTAGAAAAAGTTTCACATAGTTAAGTTTAATTCAATGAAGTAAAGTTTAGTCCAATTTCAATGAGTTTTGTCCCTCACCCCACCCCAAGTTTGGTTGCTGAAATTTTTTTTAAGTTCCATTGATTCCTCTAGATTAGAAGATCCTAAATTCAGAAATGATAACTTTATTTTAATAGTAATGTGTTTATTCTGGTTTTGTTTGCTTTTCACAAACTGGTAAAACTAAGAGTGTAGATTTAGGAATGTTCAGCAGTTTTTGCTTCAATATGCCCCCAAAAAGGACATTTATAAGTAAATTAATTTTTTAAAAAGTAAATTGGTTAACATTTAAACTACTGCTTGAAAAAACAAACTACTGCTTGAAAAGAAATGCAATATACACTATTATCATTAACAAACCAATTTTTTACATACCTACAAAGTGACTTTAATTTTGTAAAAGGTGATAAGTATTGTATGGTGTTGATATTTCCCACCATTTTTCTTTTACCTACAAAATTACTCCTACACTTCTCCCCACCTTCAGTGCTTCAAAACTTTAGGAAATTTTATATCACGACTGAAACATGCCTTTTCACTTGTCTTACTGATGTGGGAAAGCCAAATTAATCCTTGATTTCTCATTACTGCACCAATCTACTTGTTTTAAATTTTCTTCAGTCAGACCACAAATACAGAGGTAGTACTTTCTTTTTCAAACTTAGGATTCAATTATTTTATTTGATACATTTATATATTATGATTGCCATTGTAGTGATAGTTAACGCCTCTATCATATCACATTATAATTTCTTTTTACTGGTTGAAATAATTAAGATCTAGTCTCTTAGCTAGCCTGATAATTATAATATGATACTATTGTCTATATTCATCATATTGTGCCAAGGATTCACCTCCTGAATAAATGTTACACAGAGCAACAGTTCCTAACAGACTGTAGGTTTGTTCAATAAATATTGGTTGAATTAATGAAGGAACAAACTAGAAATTCTTCCCAATTTTAGTGATAAGAAATAAACATTTTGAAGAATTCTTTGCAAAGTTTTAGCCAGATCCTATTTACTTCAGGTTGCTTAATAATAAATCAGTAACCTTAAAATCACAGACTAGCATTAGAATACTACCTAAATCACCACTGAGTTCATTTCTGTAGATTTCAAAATCTCCTGTTTATCCATACTCCTGGAAGGCCTTTTCCAGAAATACATCCACAGGATTGAGGCACCTAGGAATCTCAAATAAAGAGGTCTCTATGCTCTTGAATCTTATCTTTGAATGTCAAAGAAAACTCATTTTTCTCTGACATGGATAAAACACAAGCAGGACAAGTCTAGATGATCTATTCATTGTAGCTAGGCACTTCTTCATAAGGAATCCAACAACTATTTACCTTGATCAGTCTCTGTATTTTTTTTAGCATCAACCTTTGATGGAATTTTAGAAGAATCAGAATATAAGAGCTATAGTAGAGTGTGAACCACTCTGAAGAAAGGTCAGAGGAAAAATGATTCAGATGACAAAAAGAAAGGAAGGAAGAAAGAAAATTTAACTGTTCTGCAAAGTTAAGCCCTTTAAAGTACTAGAGTTCAATCACTGAGAATTTACCACATGCCAGAGAATGTACAAAATGCTGAGGACAAAAAATAAATAGGACATGATCGCTGTCCTTGGGGAGTGCATAGTGTAGGAGGGGAGAATGACTCTAACTTTTCTATCAGAAAATGGGCTTGATACAAATCATAGAAGACTCAAGGTCACTCAGTCTATTTTATTAATCCTTAGGTCAGTGGAAGAGAAGGAAAAGAATCATTATTCATTCAAAATAGTATTTCCCAAATTTGCCTGATCATATTAATTACATCAAGTTTATTAAAATATAAATTCCAAGGCCTCTCTCCTGGAGATTCTCATTCGGTAGGGTTGGGTTCCATCCTCCCCTCAATTTATATGACCATGCAACTTTGGAATGATCATACTGTAACTGTAAGAATTCCCTTAAATGTTAGAAAATATAATATATTAACTGGTTGCAGAAAAGGCTGACTTGCCATAGATTTTCTTCGGGAAAGCTTTGCCTCAGCAGAAAGAGTGGGAAAAGGCTCATCTTCTAGGCTTCAAAAGAAAGTATCATTTGGCAGTGTCCAGGAAGTCTGGTTCCTTACACACAAGGAGTTCAATTTCCTTTTTATTTATTTTATTTTTTATTTTTAGAGAGAGGGGGGGGGGGAGAGAGAGAGAGAGAGAGAGAGAGAGAGAGAGAAACATTGATGTCAGAAACATCAATTGGTTGACTCCCATATGTGCCACAGCAGGGGATTGAACCCATTGAACAATCTGGGGATGTGCCTGACCAGGAATGGAACCGGCCACACTTTGGTGCATAGGATGAAGACACTCAACCAACTGAGCCACACCAGCGAGGGCCCAATTTCCTTTTTAAGGAGGTGAGAAGGATTCTGAGTAGAGGAAAATGTTCAAACATTTGACCCCTCCGGTCAAGGATCGGTGATCAGTTTGATCACATGGGCAGCACAATGTTTGTCGACCAAATAAAAATACTACAGAACAGAAAATATCCATTTCCTAACCGATCTGCTCCTCCTTGGTGCTGAATGCAGACATACTGGTAAAGTGGTGACTATTAATTACCTTCAATCATTTTTGGAAAGAAGCAGAACACCCAAAATAAAGTAAATAAATGGTACCAATTACGGTTTTAAGGGGAAAAAAGGCAACATAAAATGAAAATGAACCTGACAATGGTGACAGATGTGGAGGTAGATTTAAAGTTTGCTAACATCCTGGCAAAGAAATGAAGGGGAAGAAGGTAAAAAAGGGGGAGGAAAATGGCATATAAACAAACAATGCCTCCTCCCCACCTATGCAAAAACATATGGCAGATACAACTATGTGAAAAAGACATCAGATTAAAAGCAATTTGTAATGAAGCCACAAAGCATAGTAAATTCGTAAAATGACAATCATTTCTTTTTGAAATTGTAACCTCAGCCCCATCTATTTCTAAAGGCATATGATGTTATATTCTGGTGCTTGACCAAAAGACAAAGAATAAGTGTATCCAAAGAGATGGATGGATATGTCAAGACGTCAGAATATATTCTACAGCAGAGCACCTTCATACAAAGTTATTCAATGGGGAAAAAGACATTTTGAGTCTGTAATTTTTCAGTACTAGTTCTAATATCACCAACCACCTTCAAATGTCTAGCAAATCAGTATAACTTTGGAAATCCATATTTAATTGCTGAGAACTTTTGGTCAGACTTCAGAATGCTGGTAAATGTTTGAGTTTTAAGCAAAATAAGTGCACAAAGTTTGAAAGGCCAATGTGGATGAAAAGCTTCAGCTTACCAAAATTTCTGTGCAACTTGCATAGAGCAACCTCATTTCATTGCACAAACCCATACATACATACAGATGACATCATAGACAGGGTATTAGTTTAAAAGCCAAGGTAGAGGTTTTTTAAGTTCCATGGGCAATATGTCTTAGGACATATCTCAGATACACACCCATCAGGAAACATTTTCTTGAGGCATAGCAACTGGAAAAACTTCTCAAATGCACCTTTCCAAATATAATAAGAGAAGCATTTTCCACTTTTTATTTTTAAATCACCCAGAAGGTGGTTGCATGTTGGAAAGATCTTAAGGATAACTCTGACATTGCAAATATGAGTGTCCTCAATGGTCATTCAAAAATTATTGATTTAAAAATAAATAAACCCACACCTCCTACAGGTGGATAATTCTTTACCTCCATGAAATTGTGCTGATTGAAAATGAGCAGGCACAAGACATGCTCAGATAAATTCAGAGATATCTGATGCACAATGGGCTAAAGAGCAGTGTGGAGTTGAAGCAAGGGTTTAGGGGCCTAGAGACTGGCAAACTATCCTTTGCTCTACCTATTAATTAAGTACATGACCTTGGGCAAGAAAATTTCACCTCTCCGTGCCTCGGTTTATTACCTATAAAATGAATGGGTTGAACTTTACCACAGAATCCCTTCCAGCTCTAAAATTTTATGAAACAACTTCATGGAGAGCAAACACTATGCGTTCTGCAAACTCTTTCTTGGAAGCATTAAAGACCACCAAGAATTACACTGACCAGACACCTCAAATTAACTATGGGTCAACTCTCCTGGTGTCTGGAGCACACCTCACTCACTCTTTACTTGCAATGCACTGTTTGTGTTTCACAGGCCACTCAAATCTACGGATCTCATCAGGGGTTTGGAAGGTAGAGCAGGTAATATCCTGATTTACAGAAGGAACTAAGGCGTGGGGCTTAAATGTTCTGTTTAAAGTCTCACAGTCGTAAATGACAAAGTCTACTTGACCTCATTGTCTAAAAAAGTGGACGAGGGGTGGCCCGAGGTGGCATTGGAGAACACTAAACATCCAGCTATTCTGTTATCATTGAACAGTAAATCCTCCCAGGAAAAGGCCTCGAGCCAACTACTGGGTTCAATTCCCTTGAAGGTCAGGTGCGCACAGCTTGCAAAACTAATGGATCCCGCCAACTTGGAATTCACGCGACTGTGAGCGTGTTAAGTTTATCCCGGGGGTGGGGGCGGGAAGAGCTGCGAGGCTTTGGGAGCCTAAACAGCCCAGGCCCTTGGTCTAAGGAGGTGGGGGTTGCCCGGTATGGGTCAGTCACCTGGAAGCCGGTTCCTTTGCCTCGGGCCTCGGACGCACACAGTCCGCACCAAGGGCGCCAGCTTCTGCTTCAAAGCACCCGCTGCCAGGCTTCCACACCGGTACATTTCGGCAGCCGCTACTCGGGACCTCCTCCTTCCTTTCTTCTCACGCACTGACCGGTCAAACACCCTGGGCCCCGGCCCACTCCCCCCCTCTCCGCTTCACGCACACGCACTCCACGCAGGCTCCTCCTTCCAGCTCCGGGTGGGCATTGGACAGTTCCGCAGGCTTGCTAGAGCCGGGGAAGGGGAAGTGCTGCCGGAGACCTACTGCGCAGGCCTAGTACTCAGCGCCGCATTGTGATTGGCCCACACGGGAGAAGGTTTGCGCATGCGCCTAGTTTCTCCCAAGCTTGCAAAGTCCGTGCTGGACTTGCTGTAAGTTTCCACGGATTGGGGGCAGTGAGTTCAGCTGAGCGAGTTCAGAAAGCCGTCCAAGCTGAGACCCGTGGGGCCGCTTGGCCTGGCTTTTGTGGCCGGTGCTGCCGCTGTGTTGTTGGAGGAAAATGTTAACAGCACCTCACAAAGCATGGCCCCAGCACTGAATTTTGTTCTTTTGTTTTAGACCACAAGCTACTGGGTACTAAGCCTTTGGGATTCTCTGGCTTGACTCCACTTCCAGTCTTTACATATAGGTCCGAGCTGGGTCTCCCGATTTCCCAGTATTAGATTGATCTTTTACAAATTGCTGGAACCTTCCCACCCAACCTCTGCTTCTAGGGCAAGTATTCATTCCGCTCTCTCTTGCCTCATATCGCTTTTATATTGTGCAATTCTGATTCCTAGATGCTGTATCGGGTGCTGCGGATAGTCTTCTGTCAATCTCCCGTGCTTGAGAGCAGGATGCTGGCAAAACGTTCATGCTTCAGACACTGTGAGAATTCCTAAACAGGACTTTTAGAGTTGGGGCGAGGGTGGGGAGGGTAGGTGCGGTGACTGAGTATAAATAGGTGTTTTGACTCTACCAAATGTAAGCTAAATTGGAAATAAAATTTTGGCTGTATGCAAAACATAACATATGTCTTTTCTCAAAGTTTCGGGTTACATATTCATTTAACAGGTATTTATTGAGCACTTGCCACTTGGCCATTACTATGAAGGGGGATCTAGAGGTTTATGAAAAGTATAGGAAGTGGTCACTATATAGTTGGGGAGATGACATACTGGTCATTTAAAATATATATATGTGATGTAGTACCAGAGCAAGAGAAAAGACTATGGGATGGGATAGCTAAGGAAGGACTTCACGCAAGTATTACTTGAGCCTGTCTTCAAGGATGAGTAGAAAAATTCAAATAGTGGAGGAGGAGAAATGATATTTCAGATGGTGAATACACTGGGACCAAAGGAAATGTTTTTAGTGTTTATACACCGTTAACTGTGGATGCAGTCTGCCCCAGGTTGAATCCTGGCTCTGCCACTTGGGCATGTCACTTAGCTATGCCTCACTTTCCCACAGGTTTGATATGAAGATTAAATGAGAAAGCACCATGCTATTTAAATTAAAAGGCTTGGAGGTATAAAATGAACAAAACCCAGTACATTTTCAGGCGACAATGGCAGGGAGTACATACTAGGAAGTTAAGAGGGACAGGTTAATAATGTGGAATCAGATTTGAGCTAGCCAAATATTTTGTCCTTAATCTTGTAGGTGATTACATTATTTTTTTTTTAGTAAAATAGGGATAGAGGGTGAAATTACAAAGGCATTGTTTTAGAAAGTTTAACTCAGGAGGCAGTCTGTACTGGGTGAAAATGATTCAGAGTTCTCTTACTCATTTAGAATAATGTTCAGGAGGGGAGGAGAGTGAGGAGAGTGGGAAATCAACCAAAGAATACATATGCATATGCATATATGCATAGCCTTTTGACACAGACAATAATAGTGGGGTGAAGGCCTAGGGGGGCGGGGGCAGAGTAGGAGGCAAAGGTGGGGAAAATGAGGGACATCTGTAATAGAGTCAACAATAAAAATAGGCCGAAACTGGTTTGGCTCAGTGGATAGAGTGTCGGCCTGCGGATGCAAGGGTCCCGGGTTCGATTCCGGTCAAGGGCATGTACCTGGGTTGCGGGCACATCCCCAGTGGGAGATGTGCGGGAGGCAGCTAATCGATGTTTCTCTCCCATCCATGTTTCTAACTCTCTATCTCTCTCCCTTCCTCTCTGTAAAAACTCAATAAAATATATTTTTTTAAAAAAATAGAACAAAAGAAACAAAATATAGGATAATGGGTGTTCAGAAGTACAGGAATGTATAACTTTTTTAGATTTTTAAATTGATTTTTAGAGAGGGGAAGGAGGGGAGAGAAAGAGAGAAAGAAACATTGATACAAGAGCAAAACATCCATCAACATCCATGGGCTGCCGCCTCCCCCCCACCCACACCCCTCGGGGGATGGAGCCAGGCTCCTGCATTCAAACCAGCAACCCCTGGGTGCACAGGCCAATACCCAAGCAACCCAGCCACACAGGCCAGGGCTACTCTTCTGTAGATAATGATTACCAGATTTAGCTTCAAATGCAGAGAAGAATGCTGCTGAAAACTATTACCTAGACATTAGCCAAAAAAAATGATGATAGCTATCCACACTATAAAATGAGAATTGATATTCATAATGATGACCTTGGTTTAGTCAACAAAGATTAAATCTTTCTCAAGATGGTTTTAATATTGAATAGCATAATCTAGGATTTTAGAAATGGGTGACCCACATATATGTGTAAAGAGTTAGCTATAAATATATCTGCTAACTCAGCTAAAAAGCTTGTTAACTAGAAGACCCTGTCTTCCTAACCATTTTGTGTAACCTGGATTTGGCTGAGCAGTTGCATTACAGACCTATCACTGATGCATTGAATTGTTTTTCTTTCTTTTTTAAAAAATTGTTTTTCTCATATTGGGATGGATTTAGTCACGTTTGTCTCTTCTGCAGCTCAGCCTTACATACAAATAAGATGGCAGCTCATGTGTGCTGCTGGAATCCCTGACCCTGATGGCATTAGCAAACAGCTCATGTTGGTGCTATTGGCATATGTCAATATTATTCCTATGAAATATGTGGGAGGATGGATAAAGTCTTAAAAACATAAAAGGGGTACAATTTATTGTATGTAAATTATACCTCAGTAAAATTATTTCAAACAAATTCTGAACCTGAAGTCACTTTCAGGGGAGGGAGTACTCATCTTGACCAAGATGTGTGATGCTTAGTAAGCTTTGGGAAGCTGCCCCCTAATACCATAAGAAAGTTCTGTTCATTTATCATCTTCCAAGCATAATCTAGGCTTCTGGCAAATTAGACCCAACCACTTTCTTCTACATTCAGTTGTAGAGGGGTGAACCCTCGGTTTGCAGTTCCTTTTGACACTCTACCATTCTAGAAGGACATGATTGTATGGAGAGCTCGGGAATGCAAGACACTATGAGATTTATGCCTTGTCCCAAGATCCCTCCACCTGGGCCTGAAATGGTTAGTCCCGGGAACAAAGTCCCCTTTTGCTGGAGCTGCCACCACTAGCTTCCCCCCTCCCTTACTCCCTGTTTGGCCCTCTCCCACGGCGGGCCTTCCCCATTGGCCAGTCAAACACAACCGACTGCAGCAGCCAATGGGAGTCGCTCTCCTGAACATTCAGAGGATGGGTGCTCGTGGTGTGATGAGGGGGAGGTTGGCGCCTGGCACGCGCCCCTCTACATCTGGCAAGTCTGTGACAGAAACAGTAACTCCCCCTACACACGCACACCAGGGTCCCCTGGCTCCCTCCTCTCAGCTGCGCGGGCCTCCGCTACCCGAGGCTTGTCTTGGCGGCGCCCTCCCAGGCTCCTCCCCGGGGCTCGCGAGTGCACCTGCTTCCTCAATAAGAGAGCATCCCTTTATCCCAAGGCTCGGGAGGGTGCCAAGACGGCTCGGCTCAGCTGGCCGCTGCTGCGGAGGTGAAAGCGGTGTCTCCGCCCCGCCCAGTAGAGTAATGTTGCTGCTAGGCCAAAGTGCTCCAGAGATGCCTTAGGGTGCAGCTTTGTCCTCCCCAGCTGTGCTCCTGGCCCGCTGACCCCCGCGTGCTTCAAGAGAGTGGGGGTGGGGAAGCCCGAGATCTATAAGCTAAATGGGGGCGAGGAGAAGGGAAGACCATCCCGTAGTGGTGTGCGCCGCTCTCCCCATCCCCCTTTCCTCCTAGGCTTCCTCCCTGCGGTGTATCCTTGGGGATCGGGCAAGGGAGGATCCTAGCCTAAGGCGCGGCAGCAGCTAAGGGCGCGCTGAGGGTCTCAAGCCCGAGTCTGGTCTGAGGCACAGGCAGAAGGAGAAGGCTCGAGGCTTGCTGTCTCTCTTCCATGCCTCCCTTCCCTGCCTGGCTTTTGTGTTGGTGCTTCGGAAATGTGGGGAGGGTGAGCTGGAGGAGAAGGAGGGGGACCTAGGTTGAGAGGCACCCCCTGCACGCGCGCGCGCACGGTGCCGGCGCACGCACACACGCGCGGACACACACTCACGGACACGCACACACACGCACAAAGCTCGCTCGCCTCGAGCGCACTAACGTGGCCGTTTTCTTTGTGTGGAGCCCTCGAGGGGGGTTGGGGCCCCAGTTTGGTCCCGTCCTGGGGAGATGGCGCAGCCCATCCTGGGCCATGGGAACCTGCAACCTGCCTCCACCGCTGGTCTGGCATCCCTGGAGCTCGACTCGTCGCTGGACCAGTACGTGCAGATTCGCATCTTCAAAATCATCGTGATTGGGGACTCCAACGTGGGCAAGACCTGCTTGACCTTCCGCTTCTGCGGCGGGACCTTCCCGGACAAGACTGAAGCCACCATCGGCGTGGACTTCAGGGAGAAGACCGTGGAAATCGAGGGCGAGAAGATCAAGGTGATGCAGCCGGTCAGGTCCAGGAAGGGTGGGCTCTGGGAGGGGGGCTCGCCTGAGGCTTGGATCTAGTGGTTGTGAAGCCTCAGACGCGTGGCTGCGTCGCTGTTTGCTGAGCCCAAGACCCTTGGCACCTCCTCATCCCCCTTTTCCTCTCTCAGCCGCTGGGTTCCAACCTCACCCGTTTTGGGGGGCAGGCCGGAGTGGGTGCATTCATGCCCTCTGCCTCTACCTGACAGCTCCCGCCAGGAAAAGCATGTGTGATCCCATCCTTACCCTGTGCCAGGAGCAGCGGCACCTGTGGGCAGAGGGAGGCAGGAGGGAGTCGGTCCTGGTGTGGGATGGATCCCAAAGCACTTTACATATCTTG